CCTGGACCTGCATAGACATTTTTCTGTCACAGACTGTAGTTCCAATTACGAACTCTAAATACGTAATTTGAAACAATTCCGGTGAATAATGGCGTTAAAATCATCAAAATACCAAATTTTGGGAGGTACCGTTATATGGGAGCTATACGAAGACGTGGACCTGCACAGACAATTTTCTGTCATAGGCTGTAGTATTCATTACGAATCTCAAACACCAAATTTGAAACAATTTCGGTGAATAATGTCGCTAAAATCATCAAAATACTGAATATCGGGAGGTACCGTTATATGTGGGCTCTATGAAAAAGTGGACCTACATGGCCCATTTACGAACTTAACCTGCCTACTGGAAAAATAAACAGGTGTGCAAAATTTTTGCCTTCTATCTCAATTCGTTCGAAAGATAGCGTGATTACAACAGACGGACAGACAGACAGACAGACAGACGGACATGGCTAAATCGTCTTAGAATTTTACGCTGATCAAGAATATATATACTTTGTTGGGTCTGACATGAGTATTTCGAGGAGTTACAAACGGAATGACAAAGTTAATATACCCTCCATAGTATGGTGGAGGGTATAAAAAGTGTACGATTGTGTCTCTAAAAATTCTTCTGAATATAATATGTATTGAAATCAGGGAATACGATTGCTTTTGCGGAATCTCCTCCAAAAAGGCCCCCTTATAATGAAAAATATAAATATTCTTGCCTCTACTCCTTTCTTGCATCTGGACCATGATTTAATGCAAGTGAAATATGTGGCACGAGTATTGTTGTTGTTGTTGCTGCTGCTGCTGCTCTTGCTATTACTATTTTAAACACGATTTAACAATAAAACCACATTTCTGAAATTCCATAAAACAACAAGAGCAGCAACAACAACCTATTACTCCTCCACTACCAATGTCAAGCAAACAGCTCTAGTAGTGCGGAGTAGAGCTTAAATTTCAGCATTGGCCAACGCTCTGAAGAATTCTGCTTATATTTTCCAAAAGCCCACATAAATGTGTTGTTAGCTGCTGTCCATTCAGTCAGACAGTCACCCAGCCATTCAGTCGGCCAGTCAGTCATCTATTCATTCAACCATTTATCACATGGACAAGAACTACCTAGCCATGGCGGTGGCGACGGTGATGATGCTTGATGGCAGTGGCGGAGGTGATGGCAAGTCAAATGTGTAATTACCATAAATAGTGAAATCAGTCAACCAGCCAACATTCGGCACACTTCAACTCACTTTGATGGCCATTGAGCGAGAGAATGGTTCACGGTGTTGTACTGCTGTCACCTTTATCTCTTTTTAATAATTATTTTTTCGAAATAATTTTGCATAAAATTGCAATTATGTTATTCTTTTTTTAGTTTTACCTCCACTCAGAATTGTTTGGGGGAAAATATTGTGTAGATAATTTGGTCAAAGATTGACACGAAAGACCTTTGGTAGGGGAAAAAATGTGGGGGAGCACAATAGAGAAATCTACGGGAGGAGAGAAAAAAACTCAAAGCGATTCTTGTAGCCGATTGTTTGCGTAATTTGTGCTTTGTTTTCTTCGCCGATGATTATCTCTTTGGAGGTTCATGAACTATGCTAATGAGGATAGAGTGTTGTAATGGCGGATAGCTTTTCAAAATTATGTTTTCAACGGCAATTATGCGATCGACAATAAATAACATAATTTGGAGTTTGGATGGAATGAAGTATGATAAAGTTTTTTTTTTTTTGGTAACGTCGAAGGTTGTTTGGAGAAAAGATTTTTTGAGATAATGAATTGAATCTTTCGTAGGTGAATGAGAAGAGAAAACCAACCGAAAGGTTTGGCTGTTGATTCAATTCTGATTTTATTTAAAAAATATGTTTCTTAAGTGCTACTGAAACTAATCTAACTTAACCTAATCGCAGCCACACAATTATTCTTATCTATTCTAATATTGAATGGAGAACATTGCAGGGCTGCTTGTCATTTCATTCTAGTGGTCTTGTGCATCTACTGAGCGCATCGATATCTGTGCGTGTGGGCCATAACCTTTATTATCAGACACATTATCGTATGCGTCAGCGCACAAGATCACCGAATTCTTCACATGTGATATTTTATGGCGGCTGGGAAATATTTAATTTTAGAACCTTTATCTTTTATTGCTACATTTTCCCAGCGCCTCGATCGCACTCAAAAGTATGTACAAAGTATTTTGTACAGTAGGTATTTAGATTACGTAGCATATAAGGCGGACAAATAATTCATTTACGATATTAAAATAACGATTAAATGTCTGGAAAAATTTTTTTAGTTACCGACAAAAGTTCTGGAAAAAAATCTTTAAAAAACCTATTGAAATGAAGAAAAAAAAAAAACTTAAGACAAGCCTATTAGAGGCCTGTAAAAATATTCAAAAAAAAAAATCCACGATAAAAGTCGTTTAAAATATTCTTAAGAAGTCTCCGATTGTAGTCCCTAAACAATATTTTTCAAATCCTCGATTATGCTCCAGGAAAAATATTCTACAAAAAAAGATTATAGCCCAGGAAAATATTTTTAATAAGTCTTTAATTAAAGTCCTAAAAAATATCCTCAATTATGGCCCTGAATCAATATAAAAAACAAGTTTAAAAGTATCATACTTTTTTGCTGCAGATGTATATTCTCAGCCAATATCCGCTTATTTAAATATATTTCGATTGGCATTATTCAATAATTCAAACTGTTGACACTTCATGGGGGAGGTTCTGTAGAAGTGGGTAAATATTGTGCACTTCGTATATGACATGAGCCTGATTTAAATATTAAAACATGGCACATTTTGGCGATATCGGCTACTTCCATCACATTTTATGAGATATGCGATAATTTTTAGGACATGTTGAATATGCGTGAAGTACCATATACAGGGTGAAATAAAAAAAAAACTGCAACAAGGTCAAACGCCATAACTTTTAAATTTCTTTTAAAGTTCATTGAATGAAACCAAAAACTGTCGGAAATAGCATCAAATTTCGGAATAAGTTTAGATTTGTTCGAATTGGCCACCTTTGGCACGAAATATGGCCTTCAAACGGTCAATGAAACCAGAAACATGCTGCTCGAATGTTACTCTGCGGTATTTTGTCCAATTCCCGGCGATGCGGTTGCTTGAGGTAATCGACATTTTGGTATTTTATAGTGCCAACCTTGCTTTAAAAAATACTCCAGACACAATAGTCCAACGGATTGGATCCGTAGATTTTAGTAGCCTTTGTGCGCTGGAAGCGAGGAACCGTATTTTGTAACCATTCTTGGGGGCGCGTGCTGACTGCAATGGTGCTGAGTCCTGTTGGAATGTCCAAGGTCTGCGGCCAAAATGTTTGCCTGACCAAAGCTTTAATACATCCTTCAGAATATTTTCCCGATAAAATTCGGCATTTATTCTGATGCCACGGTCGATTAATACGAGCGGAGAGCAACCATCGGCTGTTATGGCTGCCCACACCATCACCATCAACGGCGCTTGAGTTCTTCTGGCCAACCGAAGGTGCACATTTTCAAATGTCTTATTGAGCTATGTAAATATTTTAAAAATCCCGGATTACTGTCCCGGAAAAATGTTTAAAAAAATCCTCGTTTGGAAAATATTTTTAAAAATCTTCATTTGTGGTCTTGAAAAAGTGTAAATTACATATTATAGCCCTGGAAAAATAATTTAAAAAATCGGCGAATATAGTCTTTAAAAAATATTCTTCGTTCTGGGGCAAAATATTTGAAAATTCTCGATTATTGTCCTGGAAATAAAAATACCGAAAGATGTTTTCAATAATCCTCAATCCTCAAAAGTACTGGAAAATATTTATTTTCGTACTGGAAAATATTTCGGAAAATCGGCAATAATAGTCTGAAAAAATATTTTTGGTCCTGGGGAAAATTGTAGTATCGAAAAAAATACTTTGAAAATCACCGATTGTAGTTTTCGAAAAATATCAACAATAAATCCATAACTACCGTCCAAGAAAAATTTAAGAAAAAAATTAGAAAAATTTCTAAAAAATATTCTTAAAAATCTCCGATAAAAATATAAACATTTAAAAAAAATCCGAATTTAAGTATTTTAAGAATATTTTTTTTTAAGTTCAGAGAAAACTTTAAAAATCGACGATTATAGTTCTGGAAAATAATTTTCATAAATTCCCGTTTTAGTCTACTTGTCCTTGATATCATAAACAATGTATCTACGATACTAACACATGATGGGTAATGGGTACTACAGCCTATGACAAAAAATTACTTTTGCAGGACCACATCTTCGTATAGCCACCTTATAAGGATTTTCCTTTAAAAAAAATAATTTTTAGAAAAATTTCTAAAAAATATTCTTAGAAATCCGCGATAAAAAATTAAACATTTTAAAAAAATCCGAATTTAGGTATTTGAAGAATATTTGTTTAGTTCTGAGAAAACTTTAAAAATCAACGGTTATAGTCCTGGAAATTTATTTCAATAAATTCCCGTTTTTAGTCTATTTGTCTTCGATATCATTAACAATGTATCTACGATACTAACGCGGGATGGGTAATGGGTACTACAGCCTATGAAAAAAATTACTTTTGCAGGACCACATCTTCGTATAGCCCCCTTAAAACGAATTGCCTTTGAGCGGTATTTTTGATTTTTTTTTTTTTTTTTTTTTTTTGGAAACTTTTCATGTTCTTTCAAAAAAAATTCCGCCTCGTCTGAACTTAGCTTCTATTTTACTTGTTATTTCTGCCCTATAATGGAAATAATCCCATCAAACAAGAAATTCCCATTCCTTTAAATTCCAACAACATTTTCCTATTTTTATTAAATTTTACTCCCTCCTTTGAATTCCTTTCACAGCAAGGGATAGCATTCCTCTTTTCCCTGAGACATCGAACAAAATGGGAATAACTCTTTTTAAATGGACATTTCTTAAATCTCTCCCCTCTTTACATAAATATGACATCGATTAATATTCATTTTCTTTTTCTTCTCTCTTCGTCTCTTTACAGCTTCCTAGAGGAGCGGTATTGCCACTCCTCTTCCTACTATGTGCAATACTCTATATAAATGGTAAGTACCCCAAAGCTCTGCAGGCCTTAGCACGGCAAGTGTTGTGTATTTATTATCCATAGATAATATAGCTTTGACATGGAATTTATGGACAAGCAGAAACACACACACACACACAAAGACGCATGCACACAGATATATTATTGCACACTTAAACACATGCTCACCATACAAATTTTCATACTAATATATGTATATTGTCTCGATTTTTTCCTTTGCACTTACACATTTTCAATCTACTCCACAGGCGTCCAATCCGATGGAAGAGTTGTCTGCTACTACACCAACTGGAGCGTCTATCGTCCCGGCACTGCGAAATTTAATCCACAAAATATTAATCCATACTTGTGTACGCATTTGATTTACGCATTTGGAGGATTTACGAAGGACAATCAAATGAAACCGTTTGATAAATATCAGGACATTGAACAAGGTATGTACGAGAATATGCAAAATGGTCTGTGGCCAAAGGGTGCCCAAGTCCTTTAGTATATTGTTTATGTGAAACAAAAAAAAAAAAAAGTATTAGAGAAAAAAATGTTTGAATAAATGCATGTATGAGTATTTTGTTCGATATTTAATATTGAGAGCCCGTATAGATGTGGTAGACTGTAAACTGAAGTTCAAATATTAGTGTAAAGTTGCATGGTATGAGAGAATAAGAGGCGGAGAGAAAGTGGGAGAGAGAACAATATGCTAAAACCCACAAAGCCGTCATGATTTATACCTTTAAGCAAACATATTTTCATTTGAGTAGAGGGATGGATATTGGGCACAGTGGAGAGTGTGGACGTCTTGAGAAGAGTATAGGGAAAAATTTACTTGATTCCTACAGTACAAAAAATAATTACAGACACATTCTAGGAGATTATAGAATTAGAGCCAAAAAGGTGAGTGTATTGGTGTTTTGGATGTTGGAAGAGCAAAGTTACCCAGATAGTGGAGAAAAGTGTCCCCCCTTCCAAGATAGTTTTTTTGAAAATTGCAGCTAAGGATTCCTGAGAATCCTTGCATTTCGGTTATAAAGTGTCTACTGAAATAATGCAGATATTTTGGTCGAAAGTTGTAACGTAATAATCGAGTCAACAAAGGGGCCTTTTTGGCCTTTTTTCAGAATATGATTCAAAACTCCCTTTAAAAGGCATTGTAGCACTTCAAAATACTCTACAAAATTATTTATCATAAAATTTGGTTATGCGCCCCAGAATACATCAAAAGTCTATATCTTACCTAAATGCCAGAAATTCCTAAATACAAAAATCACATTTTAGGGTAAAAGCCATGTAGTACGGCGAGTTTATGCAAAATTCTCCTACAAATCATAATTTCAGAAGCATGACGTCAAAGACAAAATTATTCGCCATCAAATTTCACTATAAGGTACCAAAGAAAAGAAATCTCTCTTTCCATTTTATACCAGGAATCTATTTGAATCAATGTTGCCCAATGCCAGAAAATATTTCCTAATTTTTCCATTGATTTCTTTCTTTTTTCGAGTTGATGGCTGAAGGTATCATAAAATCTTATTTTAGACAAAATATGTTAAAAGAGGAAATATTCGAAACAAAATTTCACCATTAATCTCAAGATAAATCATGTAAAATTAAGTGTTTACATATTTTGTGCTAATTTAACACTTACCAATGTCGGTCGAATTTGTTGCATTGTCCCTTTACGAGGCTAAATCCCGATTCCAGGCATTTTTTAAGAAATTCGAAAAAATATTGTATCTGTCAAAATAAAGATAGTGTCTCTCATAAATCAAAATTGGTGATATTGTTATGGTACATATTAAGTACATAAACTTCTTTTGCTCAGAGGATCATAATGAAATTTGATGTAGAATATATTATTCCTTGAAACTTTCCTTAAAAATCTAGTTTTTTTTGGAGATTTTGACTCAGATTGGAAACGTATAAAATGAACAGACAAAAAAACGTAAACAAAAATAATTTCCATTTTAATGTATAAATTTTGAATGCAATTATAATGAAAACTGTTAGATGTATATCTTATTCTGAGACTTATAGTGAAATTTAGTCTACAATAATTCATCTTCTGACACCTTCTACCTAAAACGAAAATTTAAGTTACTTTCATGCCTAATCTCGAAAAAGACCAAAGTAAAGAAAATGAGAATCGTGTTTAGCCTTTTTAGTACTCAAAATGTACAATTTATTCAGTTTGGTAAAATTTTTATACCCTACACCACAAGGTAGTGAGGGTATTATGTCTTTGTGCATTTGTTTGTAGCAGGCAAAAGGAAACGAGATAGACCCATAGTTACTTTTGATGATCTGCATAGAATCACATTCTGAGTTGATTTATGCATGTCTGCCCGTCTGCCCGTCCGTCCGTCTGTCCATGTATTTTTGTAAACAAAGTACAGTTCGCATTTATTGCCCTATCCAGATGAAATTTTGCACAAATCATTTGTTTGGCCCAAGGACGAACCCTATTGAATTTGGATAATCGGTCAAAATTTAGATATAGCTCCCATATATATATATCTTCGTCCGATTTGCCTTTTATTGTGCACCAAACGTGTAATATCAGTCCGAACAGTATGGAATTTTGCACGTACGATCAGATTGGACCTGAAAATAAGTATGCCAAATTTGATCGAAATCGGTTCAGATATAGCTATAGCTCCCTTATATATTGATCATCCGATTTGTTATTTTTGTCCTCCGCAGCCGAAATATGCACTCTGTAACAACAATATTTGGGGAGATATAACAAATACATCTCAGAAATACATTTGCTAAATTTTATCGAGATCGGTTCAGATTTGGATATAGCTCCCATATATAACTTCGTCCGATTTACTTTTTAATGTACACCAAACTCCTAATATTTACCCAAATTGTATGAAATTTGGCACTTACGACCGAATTGAGTCTAGAAGGTAGTATGGCAAATTTGATAAAGATCGGTTCAGATATAGCTATAGCTCCCATATATACTGTTCATCCGATTTGTCATATTTGTTACCCATAGCCGTAATATGCACTCCGTAACAAAGATATTTAAGGAAATATATCAAATACAGCTCAGAAATATTTTTGCCAAATTTAATCGATATTTGAATATAGCTCCCATATATATCTTTATCCGATTTCAAATTAATTGTGCACCAAATGGGTAATACAAGTCCGAATTTGAAAGATACAAATGCTTCGGCATATTTAGCACTTTGAACTTTAAATTATAATTATAATCATAGCGTGTATGATTGAATTCTCCGATAAAAACTTTTAATTGTTATGCGCAGCTATACTAAATTAGGAAAGTGGTGTAGGGTATCATAAAGTCGGCCCCGACCGACTTTAAGACTTTCTTTACTGGTTTTTAATCTAAATTTAAACGTACTAAATTTTCAGACTTTCAATGTTTTATATATTATTCAAGTTGCTTTCTTTTTCGAAAGAATAATGCTAAGTATGACTTCAAAATAAAATTTCAGAATTCAAGCTTTATCCGTTGACAAATTTAATACCATTAGAACTCTTCGAACAATCATAGTACGCATTCCCAAATCCACCTCATTCTTAGAAAACAAACAGTACAAACAGTGGTCTCCATATCAAATTTTGCAATTCCATTTCTATCTTAACACCTAACAGCACATTTTGTGGAATCAACTACGAACACCAAGAGTGACATTCATATCAAATTTTAGGATTTTATTTTAGTACAATTTAGTACTTTTTGTACATTTTTAGAATACATTTCGAAAACCCACTCCATATCAAAATTTCAGAGACTCCAATATTAAATTTAAAGGTTTTCGCTATATCCCTTCACCCAATACCAATTTCGAAACTACCTTTGTATCTCAACCCTAGATACCAACAGAGACCTCAAAATCAAACTTCAGCATTTCTATCCTCCTCTATCCCTTCACCCAATACTAAATTTAGTACTAGTTAGTATCTTTCGTACAATTATAGTACACATTTCCAAAGGCAACTCCATATCTCAATCCTAGATACCAACAGTGACCTCGATACCAAATTTCAGGATCAGTCTCTATTTCTTCGCCCGTTACCAAATTTAGTACTATTTAGTACACATTTTCAAAAATCCCTCCAAATATCAATTCCAGAAAAGAACAGATTTCAAATTTTAAGATTTCAGCTCTATTCCTTCCCCAATACCAAATTTACCACCATTTAATACATTTCCGAAACAACCTCCATATATCTAGGCATATTTAGTACTTTTCGTTTACTACAAACCTTGCCCTAACAGAGACCCCAAAATAAAATTTCAGCTTCATCCGCACATATTCCTTAATTCTCAAACGAAATATCAAGTTTTTTTCTCTCTCTCTCTCTCAGTTCACATAATTCGAAATGTTACAATTTTAGAAGTTTCGAACCAATTTCGTATCCTTTGACTTCGAATTTCCAAAAACAATTTCGTATATCTATCCTGCACTTCATCAGTGACTCTCATTCAAAATTTCAGAAATCTAGCTCAGTTCGTTTTTTTTTTTTTTTCCAATACAAAGTATTCAAATTTTAGTAGATTTTAGTACTTTCCGTCCATTTTTGGTACGAATGTCCAAAAGACCAGCCTTAACACACGCCTACAAACCAAGACCGACCCTTGTGCAAAATTTCAATGGCTTCAGCAGTTTCTTCTGGTCGTTGATTCTCATTCAGCCACTACTCCTTTATATATATACTCTCCCTTAAATATTTTATCTTCTATATACTCTCAACTGCATAAGATCTAGTTTTTTATATAGTTTCGACAGGCCTTCGGTTTATTGAGGCAAATATTGATTGCCATATAAAAATTGACTTATTTCTGGTTCAAGAAATTATTTTTTTAATCCCTACGGCTGCTCATTGCTTTCATTGCCAGCGCTAGTTTGTTTCGATATTCAATTTTTCGAAAATAATCCAAGGTTGTACGGAATAAGCCCTCTGCTTCAAAATATGTATTTAATTGAGATTAATTTAGATTACTTTAAGAAGAGAATTTTCTGAGAATTTACTTAAAAAAAACATCCCTCCTCCGTCCGTCTGTGGAAATCAGTCTAGCTTCCGAACAAAATAAAGTAGGCTAATAAAATTTTACTCAAATGCATAGACATAATAAACAGGATTTTTGCAAAATTGCCTGTGCAGGTCCACAAAAAAATCTTCAAAAATCCACAAAACACCTTCAAAGCTCCAAAAATACTGATCTCAAAAGTGTTGAAAAATCTTGGATGGGCTACGAGTATTTGAAGATTTGAAAATATTCCTGAAAGTAATATTTCCGAAATTTACCAATAAATTCTTGAAAATCCACTACTGCTGCTCCCAAAGAATTTTCAAATTATCTTTGAAAACCTCAAATTTTTAAGAATATCCACGAGTACTGCTTCCACCATTTTCCAGAAGATTATTAAATATCCAAGAAGAATTTTCAGATTTTTTTGATAGTTTTTAGGGCAATTTTTGGAAAAAATCCTTAGGCTAATTTCTTTTCTAAATTTGTTTGAGTTTCCTGCATGCTTCTATGATTAAAGCCGTAGTATGATTTTTTGGATTTCTTTTTTTCTTTAAATTTAAAAAATTAGGCTGCTATATTTTATTAAAAAACGTGTATTTTAATTTTAATACCAAGAGGACAATAAGGTTCTTTGTGTACCACTGTACCCCTCCTAGGCAAAACTGCCCAAAAATCCTTCTTTATGATGTTTGCATTCCGAAAAATAATCCTTTGTTTTTTTGTTGCTCTTGCTCCTTTTATCTCCCATTTTATGAACATCAATTCAATGCGCTATCATCTGGATGTCTGTCTGACTGCCTGCCTGTCTGCCTTCCTGCTGGTCTGGCTCCTGGTTGCATTGTCCACAACACACAAACACACACGAAAATCCTGTGCATTGCCACCCCACATCTCGAATCCAGGCGGTTATGCCAAATTCACTGGCCTAAAAACATACAATAAGCAATTGAAAACTATGATTGCCATTGGCGGCTGGAACGAAGCATCCACCCGCTTCTCGCCCCTTGTTGCCAGTGCCGAACGTAGACAAAAGTTCATTAAGAATATTCTAAAGTTTTTGCGACAAAATCATTTCGATGGCATCGATTTGGACTGGGAATATCCGGCTCATCGTACCGGCGGTCGCCCTCAGGACAGAGAGAACTATGCCCAGTTTGTGCAGGAGTTAAGAGCGGAATTCGAACGTGAAGCCGAGAAGACCGGACGTCCACGTTTGCTGTTGACAATGGCGGTGCCGGCGGGCATTGAATACATCGAAAAGGGCTATGATATACCCAAGCTGAACAAGTATTTGGATTGGTTCAATTTGTTGACATATGATTTTCATGCTTCCACCGAGCCATCGGTTAATCATCACGCTCCCTTGTATTCATTGGAAGAGGAATCTGAATATAATTATGATGCTGAATTGAATATTGTAAGTAAAGGAAGTAAAATTATTATATTAAACATAAATGATTCAAATGTTGATCCTTTGCAGGACTATTCTGTGAAATTCTATTTAAATGCTGGTGCTGACCGTGACAAGCTGGTCTTGGGCATACCCACCTATGGCCGTTCATTTACTCTGATCAATGAAGAGAGTACTGAGATAGGTGCTCCCTCTGAGGGCCCCGGGGAACAGGGTGATGCCACAAGAGAAAAAGGTTATTTGGCTTACTATGAGATCTGTCAAAACCTCAAGGAAGACCCTGAATGGACTGTGGTCCAACCAAATCCCAATGCTGTTGGCCCCTATGCCTATCGCCGCAACCAATGGGTGGGCTATGATGATGAAGCCATTGTCCGCAAGAAGTCTCAATATGTCGTCGATAATGGTCTGGGTGGTATTATGTTCTGGGCCATTGATAACGACGATTTCCGTGGCACCTGTACCGGTAAGGCGTATCCTTTGATTGAGGCGGCCAAGGAGGCGATGTTGGATGCTTTAGGGTAAGTAATTTAAGGGAGAATGAACAAATCATATGAGGTTCGAAATAGAGTTGGAATTTGTTACACAAACAATATCCCTGATAATCCAGGAAGCTTTAAAATAGAAGAGCATTTCTCCCTTGAATACGTCCTTTGAATCCAGGAGTATTATTTCTACGGTTTTCCGAAACCATCCTTGAGAGCATTTCACGAGAAATCCTTGAATGATCCTTAAAACCCGTCACTAAACAAAACTTGACTGACGATATCACTGAAAGTCATGAAAAATCCATAAAAACTTTTAGTCCTCAGAGGCATTGGTTGTACAGTCTCTCCTTTAAGATGATAAAGGAACATTGTTCCTACCGATCCTTAGAATCAATTCATGTGGTTCCAAGAAAATTGATCCAGAGAAATATTTGTCTCAAGAAATTTTCTCGAAAGTCCTTAAAAACATGCTTTAAAACCTCAATAATTCTCCTCCTTACAATCTGAGAGGTCATTCATGGTGATCGTTAAAAATCGACTAATTGCGTTCTCTAGAAACAATTGGTCCTTAGAATCTTTCCTTTAAAACACACAAGCTCCCCTTTAAAACTTCAATTTTTTTAATATTTCCCTATTTGCAGATTTGGCATTAATGAAGTCTCCAAACCAAGTGCACCCCAGAAACCATCGAGGGCTAGAAGTCGTGAAAATACTTCTTCGTCTCGTAATAATATTGAGGCTACCGAACATAAGCTGACCTATGCCGAACGTAAGGCTGCAGGAAAACGTACTGGTGGCGCCCAAGCAACTCGTCAACGTGTACAACAATCAACAACAACCACTACGACAACTATTGCCCCCAAGACCGTTCGATTGACAGAAGCTGAAGGATCTTCGCTGTATATTGGAGGAAGGACCACAACACCACCACCACCCACTACACCTGATCCAGGAACTGGTAAGTTTGGCGAAAAATAATAAAAAAAAAATGAAAAAAACAAACAAAAAATAGTAATAAAAAATTAAGTAATAAAAATTAAAAATAAGAAAAAATAAAATAATAAAAGAGAATATAAAAAAATACAAATAAATAATAAAATAACGAAAAATAATAATAAAAATATATATACAAAATAAATAAAAAATAATTAGAATAAAAAGTATTAAAAAAAATTGCAAAGTAAAAATAATAAAAACATATTAAAATAAAAAACTAAAAAAAGAATATAAAATTATATGAATAAATATACATAATAATAAAATAATTAGAAAACATAAAAAATAAATAAAAAATAAAATTATTAATAAAAAAAATAAAATAGTATATAAAATAAATGAAAAATATAAAATAAAAAAATAAATAAATAATAATAAAATAAAATAATAAAAGAGAATATAAAATAATACAAAAAATAAAAGAAATATAAGGAAAAAATAACGAAAAATAATAATAAAATTATCAAAAAAATATAAAAAATAAATTAATAAAATTAGAATAAAAAATATTAAAAAATAGCAAAGTAAAAATAATAAAAACATATTAAAATAAAAAACTAATAAAAAATATAAAATTATATGAATAAATTAAAATAATAATAAAATAATTAGAAAACTTAAAAAATAAATAAAATTATTAATAAAAAATAAAATAGTATATAAAATATATATAAAATAAAAAAAGATAAATAGGAAATAACAAAAAACATAAAAATGACAATAAAATAATTAAAATATAAAAAATGATAAATTACAAAAAATAAAAATGGAAATATAAAATTAAATAATTAATTAACAAATAATAAAGAAAGCAAAAAAATAAAAAATAATATCAAAATATAAAAAAATAAAATCTAAATATAAATAAAATAAAATAATATAATAAAATAAAAGTAATTAAAAAAACATATAATATTAAAAAATAAAATAAAAAACAAATAAAAACATAAAATTAAAATAATTACAAAAAAGTAATAAAAAAGTAAAATAAAAATAAAAAAATAATAAAATAAAAATAATAAAAAGATTATAAAATAATTATTAAATTTAAACAAAAAAAAACTAAAATAAAAAATTATAAATGTAAAAACTAAAATATCATAAAATAATAAAAAAATAAAAAAAAACTTAATAAAAATGTAAAATAAAAAAATTATAAAAAAAAAATAAAAAATATAAAATAAATAAAAAATAATAAAATAAACAAATAATAAAAAATAAAATATTAATAATAATAATAACAATTATAATAATAATAAAAAATAAAATAAAACTTTTATTATTTTTTTTTTAATTTTTTATTTTATTTTTTATTATTTTTTATTTATTTTACATTTTATTTATTTTATTTTTATAATTTTTGTTTTATAATTTTTTATTTTACATTTTTATTATATTTTTATTAAGTTTTTATATTTTTTTATTATTTTATGATATTTTTTTATAATTTTTTACATTTATAATTTTTTTATTTTAGTTTTTATTTTTTTTTTCTAATTTTCTAATTATTTTAAAATCTTTTTATTATTTTTATTTCATTATTTTTATTTTACTTTTTTATTACTTTTATTTTATTTTAATAAATAAATACAAATAATAAAACAATTAGAAATAAAGAAAAATAAATAATAATAATTAAATAAAATTATTTTTTAATGTTATTTAATTATTATTATTTATTTTTCTTCCAATAAAAAAATTTAAATAATAAAAAAATAATAAAATAAAAATAATAAAAAAGTATTAAAATAATTAGAAAAATATAATAAATAAATAAAAAATATTTTTTTTAATTATATTTTTTTCGAATTCCTTTTAGATTTCAAATGTGAAGAAGAAGGTTTCTTCCAACATCCCCGTGATTGCAAGAAATATTATTGGTGTTTGGACAGTGGTCCATCTGGTTTGGGTATTGTGGCCCATCAATTCACCTGTCCCTCGGGCCTGTATTTCAATCCTGCAGCTGATTCTTGTGATTTTGCCCGTAATGTGCCTTGCAAGACGAAAAAGTAAGTTCGATCATGTCATTAGATAAAATTCCAAAAATAATAATAATTTATAACTTTTACCCTCAGATCTACCACAGCCGCTCCTGTCACGGCAGCCCCAACCACCAGGACAACAACGACCACTCCCAGACCCAGTCGTGTTACCGCTTCCCTCAATCGTAATTCCCTCTTCAGAACCTCAAGTACCACCACCACGACTACCACCACAACCACTGAAGCCCCTGAATATCAAGAATACGAAGAAGATGAAGATGATAACCTACACTTGAACTCCGGCAAACATGGTGTCGACAAGGATGCCGAAGAAGATCCAAAAGTTATCAAGGAACTCATCGAACTGATACGCAAGTTGGGCGGTGTGGAAGAATTGGAGAAACATTTGTTACGCAAAGACGATGGCACCATTTCGATTAAATCGAGCAGCAGCAGCAGTAGTTCTTCGTCTGCACCCACCACGCCATCGAGCATTAGCAAATCACTGTACGACAAAGTGTTGAGCAAACCCAATGCCCTCAACTCCATACGCAATAGTTTGAGAGCCACCAGCAGTAGTTCGTTCCGCACCAAAACCCAAACTAAAACCGTCAGCAATGTCGAAAGCGATGAAGATGAATTGGTGTCGGAAGAGTCGGATGCCAGAAATGCCGGCAGCTCTACCTCGGCATACAACAAATATTCCTCCGTGGTAAGAGGTGGCAATAGCCGCCAGGGTCCACAAAATGAGGGCATCGATAAATTGGCCGAAACCGAGGGTTTTCTTAAGGAAAAGAAACAATACATTACCATAACTCGTAATCGTGGTAGTCAAAAATCGTCTCGATCAGAAACAGAAGCTGAAGGCGAAGAGGATGTGGAATCCGAATCGGAAGTGGTTGGTAAGGCTGAAGAGGATGAATTGAAAACAACGAAAAAATCTTCAAGCGGCACAACATTGACTTATTCGACAATACGTCGCAGCAGACCCACAACCCAGGCCAGCACCGATGTTGATGAAGATGAGGAAGTCGTTGAGAAGGATGTCACGGAAAAGAAACAATACAGTTCATTGAATCGCAATCGTTCAAGAGTAAGCAGCACCACTACAACGGAACCGGAAACCAGTGAGATTACCTCAGGATCCACAAGGTGAGTTTTTTAGCGCGTTTTTTTAAGTTAGTGGGGTTGGGAAAATTCTTCTTCCCCTTTTTAAGAACAGGTTTCTCAAGTCCCTCTATTCGGGAATGTTATCTAATTTAGGTTTCCCACAGGAAATTGTTTAAGGTCACTCAAATAGAGCTTATGAAAGATGATTTGAGATAGAGGGGTTCTAATTTTTTCCCAACAAAATTTTTTTTCCATGTTGTATCCTATTATACCATTCTCAATTCTATGGGGGATCAGCGCAATATTCTAAATCGATTTAGCGATGTCTCTCTGTCTGTCTGTCTGTGTAATCACCCTATCTTTCGAACGAATTGAGATTGAAGGCTAAAATATGTATTTTTCCAGTAGGCAGGTCATGTTCGTAAATAGGCCACTTCGGTCCACGTTTTCGTATAGCCCCCACATAACGATACCTCCCGATATTCGGTATTTTGATGATTTTTGCGACATTTTTCGCCAGAATTATTTAAAATTTTCTATTTGAAGTTCGTAATAGGTATCACAGCCTATGACTAAAAATTGCGTATGCAGGTCCACGTTTTCGTATAGTCCTCATATAACTATACCTTCCGAAATTCGGTATTTTTATGATTTTAGACACCCTATAAACCGGAATTGTTTCAAATTTCGTATTTTAAGTTCGTAATGGGAACTAGAGTCTATGACAAAAAATTGCGTGTGCAGGTTCACTTCTTCGTATAGGCCCCACATAACGATACCTCCCAATATTCGGTATTTTGATGATTTTACCGGCATTATTTACCGGAATTGTTTCAAATTTCGTATTTGAAGTTCGTAATGGGTACTACAGCCTATGACAAAAAAATTGCGTAATCAAGTATAAGTTTTCGCATAACCCCCATATAACGATACCTTCGGATGGTTGGTATTCAAATGATTTTAGCGGCATTTTTCATCGGAATGATTTCAAATTTCGGAAAATTGTTTATGCAGGTCCACGTCTTTGTATAGCCCTCATATAAGATACCTCCCGATATTCGGAATCCTGATAATTTTACCGGCATTATCTACCGGAATTGTTTCAAATTTCGTATTTGAAGTTCGTAATGGGTACCACAGCCTATGGCAAGAAGATGCGTAATCAGATCCAAGTTTTCGTATAGCCCCCATACAACGATACCTTCCGATATTTGGCATTTTTATGATTTTAGCGACATTTCTCTTCGGAATTATTTCAAATTTCGTATTTTGAGTTCGGTATTGGTACTACAGCCTATGACTGAAAATTGTCTATGCAGGTCCACGTCTTCATATATATAGCTCCCGTATAGCGGTTTTCACTTAGGCGTTATTTTTCTAAGAATTTTTTTAACATTTTCAAGATCCTTCCAAATGAAGGGTATTAAGAGTTCGGCCCGGTCGCACTTAACTACTTTTTTTGACTTATTTTTGACGATAATTTTCCTATTTTTCCAGGTATAAGTATTTGGAACGTTCTAGACCAGCCAAGACCACTACCGAAGCTTCTCGTGATGATGATGCCGATGATGACGAAGAGGACAATTTGGATCATGAAAATACGGTACAAGTAAAGACTGATAATAAATCCAGCACACAAGATAGTTCTACAACAACAACAACTACCACAACAACAACCACCTCCACGAACAACAGTAATACACAGAAGACCTATGCCACCATAGGTCGTAGAACAACAACTACAACCTCACCTGAAACTGAAACAACAGCTACAGAAACATCAACAACAACAGCTGCCAGTGAAGCAGATTTGAGCACCACAACAACAGCAACAACAGAGACTCCAATAACAACAACCACCACTACCAGTCCACAATCTATTTTAGAAACTACTACACCTACTGAAACTATTGTAACATCCCATACTGCCACAACCACCACACCCTCAGACACTCCCATAGCCCATAGCACCACACCCACAACCAATACTAACCCTGAAATTACAACCAATGAGACACCCTTGACCTCGACGACGACAACGATAGCGGACGTGACGACATCTCATATCAATGACATTTCGGACATGGACCCTGAAACCGTTGACCTTTCCCTTAAAATCAATTCCCTTATGACTGAATCCTCCTCCTCTGTTTCCCTAAATCCTGTAACCACCACGGAGTCTGGCCAAGATAGTGGTCGTTTGACAACAACATCGACAACGACGACCAACAGCAAAAAACAAGACGAGGCCGATGTTAACGATGAGGTAAATGTAGTTATTAAGGAACGTCAAAAGACTGTGTATAGAACACGAACAAGAATCACAACAACAACAACAGAGCCCACAACAACCACCACCACCAACACACCCACACAAAGACCAATAAACACTCGTACTCGTACAACCAAAACAGCAATAACAACAACAGAAACCCCTGAAGTTGATACCGCTAGTTCTAGGAGACCTCTGCGAACTAGACAACAGATTTTACTCAATCGTTCTTCACAGACAAAAACAACAACAACAACCACAGAAGTGACTCCCACTACCGAAACTGTAAATAGTGAATTCCTGGGTACTGTATCTAGTCCAAGACCATTTGGTTTTCCCAAAAAACGTACTAGACCGACAGCCACCACAACGACCACAACTACCACAGAGGCACAACCGGCCTCGGTAGAAACCAAAACAAGTGTAGGAAAATCGACAAAACTTAAAGCGGCCGTGGTCAATACCCAAATCAAAAAGGTGAGTTCGAATTCCATACTCTCTGAAATTGTTACCACCAACGAAACGCAAGCAGCTTCCTCTCTCACGGACACCGCCGGCGAGAGTGAGGCGGTCTTGAGCACTAAGCACAACTCTAGTTTTAATAATAATGATAATAAAAATCACGACTCACACGAACACGAACAACAAGAACATGAGGGACAAGGACACCAAGTAGTTGCCGGTTTAGAGGGTAGTACTGATGTTAACCTAGAATTAAGGCATGAAAATACACAAGAATCTAATCTTAATGTTATACCCAATCCAACAACAACCCCTGCCCCTGCCCCCGCCCCTGAAAATGAAAAAACTGAAATTCCCCTTGTAAATGTAGTTAACGAAAGTGAGGTTAAGAGCGAACAAACAAATACAGGTAATGAAAGTGTTAGGAAAGCCGAAGAAACGTCCTCCCAAAATGTTGGTGAAATTTCTGCACAACGAGGCCAAGTCAATGCCGTCGAAGATAATCAAGGTGCCTTGGAATATCAAAAGAAATATGTTAATCTGAGCCGTTCTCACAGCAAAAATGAAGAAAAGGGTGAAAAGCAAGAAGAGCTTACGTTGGGCGCCACCACGTCGTCAATGGAAACTGAGAGCAAAAATCATTCGAAGACACAAACTGACACTCAAACTGAATCCATTGTAAGCCTTAGCCACACCAAAGAAGAAGAGGAGAGTGTAAAGAAAGAAGAGGCCACGTTGGGCGCCACCACGTCATCAACTGAAATAGCAACTCAAACTGAGAGCGGAAGTCATTCAGAGGCAAGCAGTGGCACTCAAACGGAATCACTTGAACAGTCTCAGGTTAATTCCAGCGCTGTCGTTTCTGCGAAGAAATCATCCACAGATGAAACTCAAACTGAGACCGTTAAGAGCGTGGAGGCAAATTCTGCCACCTTAAGCTCCACGGATAAATCGTCAGCAGATGAAAGCCATACTGACAGGACTAGTTCCTTGGAGAAATCCTCAATGGGCAACACCGAAAGTGAAACCGCAAACTCAAAATCCTCCCAGAAATCGGTAACTGAAGAAAGCCAAACTGAAACTCACTCTGAAGAATTGGGCAGCTCAGAATCAAGTCGTGAAAATTCCGGAAAGGCCATCAAGTCGTACACCACCATAAAACGTACCCATCAAACCGCAGGAAATGATGCTGCTACGAATGATAATGGTTTCTTCAAGACGATAACCACCACTACTACCACCGTTACCACCACTGAAGAGTCAGACAATGGAAATGGTCTGGGAAGCAATGGCAAATCGTATACCACCATACAACGTGGAAAGGTCAGAGGTTCCGCACAAAATGTTGAGGATGAAAATAGTGGATCGAAATTCTATAGTAGCACAAAACGTGTCCAAACCACCACCACCGGAAAATCAGAAGGTAATATCTTTGAAAGTCATGAAACTGGCGCCCAAGGTGAAGTCAATGAAAAGAAATCCTACACAACCATAACCAGGGGTTCGAATCGCGCTTCAGGAAGCAATGAGGATAAGGAGGTACAGAGCGGATCAAAATCTTACAGTACCCTAAAACGCACCCAAAGCACAACCACATCCTCCAAGGGATCTGAAGAGAACCAAAACTCTACAGAAACCGATGGACATGCCGCCCACCAGATTTCCGAAAAGAAGACCTACACAACTCTAACTCGAGGTTCTAGCCGCCAGGGAGATAACAAGGCCAGCAATGAGGCCGAAGATTCGAATGACGGAACCAAATCCTATAATACCATAAAACGTGTACAAACCACTACCACAACGCTTGAAGGATCCGGAGACCTTGATGACTCCTCGCTTGAGGCCCATGGGAAGAAAACTTATACCACAATTACCCGTAATCGTGGTTCTGCAACACATGCCGAGGAAGAAAACGAAGAGCATAAGGTATCAAGTGGAACTCGCACACGCTACTCGAGCACTACCGAAAATATACCCTACAAGGCCATTGTGCGGAATAGCAGTGGCATTCATCTTACCGAAGAGGAATTGTCAGCCTTTACCAAAAACAATGGCAAAAATACCACAACAATTACAACAACAACGGTTGTGGAAGAGGCAGCTGAGAAGCCTTACCGGGTTATATCTCGAGGTGGACAGATCTATGAGAATGCAAGCACAGAAGGACAAGAGGAAACAACGGAAACTGAAACCAAGTCCTATAAGGAGATTTCCAGAGGTGGCCAAATTTATCAGGCTGGAAAGCAGCAGGATGGCGAAGAGAGTCAGACTTTCCATAGCGAAGTGAAGACCACCACCTTTACGAGCCAGGCGGGCAATAAACCCTACAAAGCCATATCAAGAGGAGGACAAACTAAAGTCGAGAAATCCGAAGAAGTCGTTGGAGGTACAGAAGAAACGACTACCACCAAAACCGAAGAATCCACAACCACCACCGAGGAAGCAATTTCCAGCACAACTGTTCAACCTTTAGATGTGGAAACCACCCGTCGTATTTTGTTTAAGACTCGAGTTTCAACCACAGCAGCTCCGGAGACTGAAAGCAAATCGGAAGAAGAGAAGGTTGAGAAATCCAACAAGAAAACAACTTTCACCTCAAGGACCACAACGGAGAACCTCACCGAAGACAAGCCCAGAAAACGTGTAGTTGTCAAGCGCATCAAGACTCAAACGGATAACAATGATGCTCAACAAGGCACCACCAAAACCGTAGATGTCACCGAAAAGGAAGTCACTGAAACCTCGTCGACAGCTACCATTTCCCGTGGTACCTATCGTCCCACAGAAAAAGGTGATCTCTCCTCCCTGCTGGCCTTAGATTTGGCCAAGAAGCAAGCCAAACAACAACAACAGCAATTTGGTAATGGCCAACACCGTAAATTTGTGAAAAGTGGCACCCAAGCAATCGAAGAAAATGAGGGCGAAGAAGAGGTTACCACGCACACGGAAATTGTCAATGGCAAACGTCGTACAATTATCACCAAAAAGAAAATCAAAACAATTGTGATCACCGAAGATCTGGAACAAGAAGAAAAAGAGGCAGAACAAGAAAATAGTTCGAAGAATTTGAAATTGAAGGGTGAAACGGGATCTCTGGAAGAAAGTCGCGAAGAGACAAGCCGGGAAAAGATAATAAATCGTGGTAAATATCGACCTGTGGAAAAGGGAGACTTATCCTCGCTACTGGCTTTGGATTTGGCCAAGCAACAGGGTAAAACCCAAACGCAGCTGCAGTTTGGTAATGGCAAGCGACGCAGACCCGTTACCAAAACCATTACCGAGGAAACGGTGGTGGAGGAAGAAAATGGCAAAAGACGCAGGCCAGTAAGCAAGGTTACCACAACCACTGAGGAGGAGAAGGAGGAAATTAATGGAAGAACACGGGGAGCTGTCAGCAAATCATTGGTGGAAAGTTCCAGTGAGGAAGTGCAAGGAAAACGACGAGGATCATTTACAAAAACCTCTTCCCAGGAAGACAGTGGTAAGGTACGCAAACCATTTACCAAGACTAGCGCTGATGTTTCAACGGATGAGGAAGATGGCAAGAAGAAGGCTCTTGGTTCGACCAGCACAACTTCGACCACTGAAGACATTACCGAAGAAGGCAAACGCAAGACAACCACAACGACCACCGAGGAATCGGAAGCCTTGGAGGGTGAAGGTAAAATTCGCATGACAATCACCACCACTACCATTGAGGAAATTGTGGAGGATGAAGATGCCAAAAAGTCGGCAAGCCAAAACGCAACACAAATTGAAGAGGGTGAAGGACAAAAGAAATTAAGCGGATCTATTACCAAACTTATTACCAAGGAAGAGGAAACACAAGTCAAGTCCCGGAACAGTGTTGTTACAAGCAGCACCGAACAGAGCGAAGAAGAAATTGCAAAGAGCAAGTCTAGACTTGCCCAGTCTGGTAGCGAAGAAGACGATGGCCCAGCTGGCAAGGGCAGAACGCGAACAACTACAACCGCAACCACCACTGTTGAGGAAACAAGTGCCCAAGGTAATGGCAAATTCCGCAAACCTGTAGGCAAAATTTCCTCCCAACAAAGCGAGGCAACTGAAAGTCAAAGCAATGTGCGTAGGTTTGGATCCTCCCAGACAAGTGGAAGCAGTGAGGGCTCCAATGGCCGTAGAAAAGTTCTGGTGCGCAAACGAATTCAAAAAGTCCAAAATCAAGGCAACGAAAGTTTGACGAAGTCTCAGGGCTCGGAAACAATTCTGGAACAAGGTCAACAAAATGCCACTCAAATTTCCGCCACGGAAGGTTCGGATTTATCAATCACTAATGGTTCCGAGAATGCTACAGTTGCAAGCGATGAATCTTTGGAGGCTGGCAGCCAGAAGACCACAAAGACCACTACTACAACCACCACAACCACTGTCAACACCAAGAAATTTGGGGCTAATGGCCAAGGAGATTCCGAAAATGAAGATAAAAGACAAGCCAATCGTCTGCTGTTTAGAAATCGCAAGACTCAAACGGCTAGCAGCTCCTCAGCTTCTACCACAAAGGAAGAGGAAGTAGTGGATAGTGGAAAGGTTCAAGCCAATAGCCAAACCCGCAAGTTCGGCTTTGCCAATAATCGTAAATTCGGCAGTCAACGGACCTCCCAATCTGAAGAGTCCAAGACGGATCAGGAAGCAAATGAAACTGAAAAATTGGAAAATGAAAGTTCAGCCAAAACCACAACCTCCACCCGGACCATAGATAGATCCAAATCTAAGTTCCGCACCTCTCAACAGACTACGGAAACTCGAAAATCCAGCACTGTTCAGCGACGCGGCAAACCTTCACGCACCAGCCTTTTGGACAGTGGCAAAACCGAGGAAGTTGATATTTTGGAGGATGGCTCGAAACGCATTAAGACCATTACCATTGAGACAATTCCTACGGGTCCTGGTACGGTGAAAACTATACGTCGTATCAAAACGAAAATCATCAAGAAACAAGATCCCATCTATGAAGATGAGGTTGAAGAGGTTGAAACGCCCCCAACGACTAGGAGACCAAATATACGTAGCCGTGGTTCTGTAAGATTCCAGGATAGTGATCTCTCTTCGCTGTTGGCCTTGGATTTGACCTATAAACATGCGAGACAACCCCAGGGAGAGCCCAAAGGTCAAAAGCAACGTAGAAAGATTATACGACGACCTGATATCATTACCGAAACCGAGGAGATTGAAGAAATTGAAACTGAACTGCCCACCGAGGCTCCGATCACAACCACAATTACCGAGGTGCAAGAGACCAGAACTGTCAATGGTAAGGCCCAGCCAACGAAATTGACAAGAATTACAAGTACCTCAAAGGGAGATAAGGCCAAGGAGGAAGAAGTTGTGGAGGAGGAAGAGGTGAAGACGGTTACAAGACGCAACTTTGCTTTCAAACGTCCAACTTCGACCACAACAACTACAGCCGCTCCAATTACGTTGGAAGAGGATAATCAGGAATCAACAGGGAAGAGGAATTTCGCCTTTAAAAGACCATTTGGAAATGCGGCCGCAATTGCCAAACCCTTGAAGGCCACCACAGTCAATCTGCAATCTGTGGAGGAGAATCAAACCACAGTGCAAAAGACTAAAGTTCTGAATAAATTCAGTAAGTTTGGTAAAGCTCAGACTACTACCACGACAGAAGAACCCACCACGACAACCACAACTACAGAAGAACCCACGACGACAACAACCACCACCGAAGAACCCACCACGACAACAACCACAACCACTGAAGAACCTACCACCACCACCACGACAACGGCAAGACCTATTACCACCACGTCAACGACCACGACGACTTCCACCACGGAAACTTCCAGTTCAGAAAATTCGGATGATATCCTAGAAACCGCTGATTCATTGGGTCTGCTGCGCAACCAATTGGCCTTTGCCGTCAACAAGTTGACTGCCGGAGCTGAGGGTGAAATTAAACCTCCCTCGGCACCGGATAGTGGTGACCTGTCTTTGCCCATTTATCACCGTCGTAAATACTATCAATACTACAAAGATTCGCCCATTACCTATGTCAGTCCCATAAGTCCCAATATCAATGTGGCTGCAAATCCCTCCGCCAGCAATGTTGATGTGGCCAAACAAATTCACGATGTCTTCAATATTAGCAACAATCATTTGAATGGAGCCGAGGCGGAAGAAAATAACGAAGCCTCGGAACAAGCCAAGGAAATCAACGAAGGATTGGGTAATTTTTTATTGAAAACCCCCGGGTCAATTTAGGCTACCCGGGGGATGCAGCATTTGAGGGAAAATTGGAAAATTCCTCAACTGTAGAAGAGCTGGCGGATATTGGTGGTGAAGGTTTGCTGACGGAAACGGAAAAGAAGGTCAAGATCACTGTGTTGGCGGCCAATAATTTGGAAAAGGACAGTTGGAGAATAGGTAAAACCTTGAGTGCCAAAGCAGGAGAAGAAGGTGAGGTAACGACGAAGGTTAAACAGAAGGTGGAAGAAACTGAGACATCTCAAAATGAGCAATTGCTGGAATCCGAATCAAAATCAACAGCTGAGGATCTTGCCACGGCCGAAACTTCCAGGATTCCCAGAAATCGTCGCTTACGAACCAAACTCTCGGAGACAACTACCGATACCCATGAAGAAGAAACCATAACTGCTGAAACGAATTCAGTCTCTGATGAGGAGCATAGCACCGTGCGACCCCCTAGGCTACCTATCAATCGTCGGCTTAGAACTAGACCCACGGAGAGTAGCTCAACCACCACAGAATCTCCACACGAAGAGGAAGATGAGATCACAACCACTTCCACAAAACCCTCCATAACTCGGCATCGTTTTGGGCAAAAATCTCCGGCCAAAAATGAAGCGACAACCACAACCCAAAGCCCAACAGCCACAACAGAAACGTCTGAGCTAACCACAGAGCCACCGGCCAAGCAAATTTTACGGCGTCGCTTCAATACAAAAAGCTCCGCAAACCACTCTCCATCAACAACGACAACCACAACAGAAACCCCACTCGTAGAGGAAGATCTCTCGTCGAGTACACCTGCAACGACCACTGAAACCTCAGAGATTCCCGGTGACAAACCCAAACGTCGCATTATTGTCAAGAAACGTATAAAAACTGTTGCCGCCCCTAAGAAATCTGACCAAGAAGCTGCCCCCAGTGAGGTGCATGAAACCATTTCCGAAGTTCCGATAACGGAAAGTACAGATGCCTCCTCCAGCACTGAGTCGACGATTTCGACACCCATTGCTGAGGCTTTGACTGTGGAACAACCAAATTCCACTGAAGCTCCATTGGAGGCTGCTACTTCCGCCACCCGGGATGCAGAAATCTCCTCAACTGAAAATACAAAACGGAAGAGAATCATTGTCAAGAAACGCCTTCCAATATCTACGACAACGATCGCTCCCGCTGAAACGAACAGTAGCTCAACTGAGGCTGCCGTTGAGGATACTCCCAGCACCACAGTGGCTCCCGCTGCCACTGAAGATCTCAAAGAAACACCAATTGAGGTTGTATCCACCACTCCCGCTCAACCCCTACGACGAGGTCATCGTTTCGGAAAAGTTAATCCAACACAGACGACAACAGAATCTGCACTCTCAACGAACTCCGAAGAAAACGATAAGGAAACCACAACTACACAGAGATCCCGCCCTGGCGTGAATCGTTTACGGCGCCCAACCAAAAGAATTCCGGCTGCAAGTGAAAAATCCGAAATCGTCCTGCAAGATGAAGATATTGACAAGTCGGTGAGATCAACCACCAAGCGATCTTTTGTACAGCGTGGCAAAAAATCGGAAGTCGAAGAGACCGTACCGCGCAGTAGCCTTCGTCCAGCCAAACGTTCACGACGTTTATTGGTAAATGGCCAGGCTAGGCCGATTTTCAATGACCTCTTGCAAGGAACGACAGAAAAAAGTCGTAAGCGTGTGGAAGCTGATGAAGAGGAAGATGACTACGATGAGGAAGACGACGAGGAAGAGGAGGAAGATGATGATGACGACGAAGAAGAAGTGGTAACCAAACCTACCACCAGAAAACCTCTGGTTGGCATTAGGCCCATTGTTTCCCGACCAACATTTGGAGGATTGAATCGCTTGCGCGGTTCCAGTTTCACAACTGAGACAGCCCTCGAAGAGGAAGATGAGGTCACCGAAGAAGCAACAACAAAACGTACACTACCGACAAGACGTCCCTCATTCGGAGGACTGAATCGTTTGCGCGGTTCCAGTTCCACAACTAAGACAGCCTTCGAAGAGGAAGATGAGTTCACCGAGGAAGCCACAACAAAACGTACACTACCGACAAGACGGCCAGCTTATGGAGCATTGAATCGTTTGCGCGGTTCCAGTTCCACAACTGAGGCGGCTCCCGAAGCTGAGGAGGAAGATGAGGTCACCGAAGAAGAATCCACAACAAAACGTACACTACCCACGAGGCGGCCATTTGGTGGTCTGAGTAGGACTTCAAGTCAATCTCTGAATTCCGCACAACGGCCAGCATTGCGCCCGAATGGTTTCAGAAGTTCCACAACCGAGGAACCAGCTGCCGTTGAAGACGAAGAAACCACCCGACGCTCTTTTCCCTCCAGGAAACCCTATGGGGCAATTTCGCGCGTAACCACAACCACCACTGAAGCTGCTGAGATTGCAGAGGAAACGGAGGAGTCAACCTCTACGACCACAACTGAGGCAACAACAACAACAACTGAGAAATCTCCTGAACCTTCCATTGAAGAGTTCTCGGAAGAAACAACAGAAACGGCGTCGACATCAACATCTCCCATTGAATCCTCCGAAGCTTCGATTGAGGTCATGTCAGGAGAGTTGGGAAATGATGAGGAACAAACTACCATCTCTTCGGAGAATTCGGCAGCCGAAGAAACTTCCAGTGAAACTCCCGACAAAGAAGAAATTTCCGCCAGTTCCACGGAGGCAGCTAGCTCTGTCACAACAGAATCTTCCATGGCAACAATGGAAATGCCTCAGGATGAAACAACCATGGAGAGCGTTAAAGCTGAGGAAAAAGAAACAACATTACCCAGTGTGGAGCTAACGGAAACAACGGAGCAAAGTACCTTGGCCACACCACGGCGTAGGGTGATTGTTAAAAAGATTATCAGGAAAACTTCGACGGCATCTCCCGTGGAGAATAAAGAGGAATCGACGGAAACGTCTACTCAGATCACACGCCTCAAGTTGGTAACCTCGGAAAACGTTACGAAGACGGCGAACTCTGAGGACACAACACGCCGTGCCCTTGGTGCTGCTTATCGCTCACGAACCACGGAATCTAGCGATCTCTCCACAACAACAGATTCTACCACTCCAAACTCTGATGTAACATCGGGTAATGAGTCCACATCCCGACGTTCCTTTGTGGCTGGTTTCCGCTCAAGAGCTACTCAAGCCTCAGAGAAATCGAACTCCAACACCCAGCTTGAAAACGAAACCACAACACGCCGTTCTTTTGGTAGCGGTTTTCGTTCACGGACCACTGAATCATCCCAGGACGCCGCTGCTGACGAAGAAGAGGTAAAAGAAATCACCACAAAACTTACGCCCCTTGCCAAGCGACCTTTATTCGCTGCCAATCGTTCGAGATTTACAACTAAGGCTCCGGCTGACCAACAACCCGAAGAATCCATAGAAGTGGCAACACGTCGTACATTTGGCGCTCAATCAAATCGAGCCACCTTTAGCCGTAATCTCTTGCGGCAAAGTGATAAAACCAATGAGGACCAAGAGGTTGAGAGTGTGACACGCCGAACTTTTGGACAGCGTCAACAAAGACTTAATTCCAAGACCACCCAGCTTGAGCCTGTGCCAGCCACCCGGGCCACATTGAAGCCTTTTAATAATCAACGGCCACAATTTGTGAGACCTCGGCCATTTGGAAATCGCCAATTGCAGCCACAAAGAGAGCAGAATAATGATGATGAGGATGATCTCGATGAAGATGAGGAGGATGACGAAAGTGAGGAATCTGATTCCAATGAAGAAAATGAGGATGAGGATCTCGCCCCCAACAGACTTGCCATAAAACCGAATTTACAAAATCGTTTACGTCTCACCACCACCACCACCAACCAAGACAGACGGACTCAGGACTCGGCTACGTCACAAGACTCAGGGCCCCCCACCAATACTAGACTTAAGACCTTATTAACGAATAGAAATCATGTTCCCCCAACGAAGCCCATATCTACACTACCCACCAACACCAACACCCCAGAACACAACTCAGACTTACAATCTGAGACGGCAGCTAGCCCAGAACACACTCACACTGCTACTAACCCCCAAACTGTAGAGTCAAGTAGTAGTAGTAGTCGTAGTAGTAGTAGTAGTCGTAGCTCTAATTCTAACAGCACCGTAGCCAATTATTTGAATAGAATTCAAATCAAAACTAACCCTGCACTTAAATTTAAGGCATCTAGTCAAGATGGAAATGATGATAAACCTGAAGAGAATATTAACCAAAATGATGATAAGAGTAACGAAGATGATTATGATCAGGATGAAGATGATGATCAGGTTGCAGGTCAAGGACCTCTAGAAAATGATAAATCATTTAGTTCTAAGTCAAAGTTTAAGTATAATAACAACAATAATGAAAATAAGGGAGCTAATCTTGATGATGATTCTAAACGACGTTTTCAGAAATATCAGTTCCCAGCTAGAACCACAACAACAACAACAACAACACCAAGTACAACGACAGCAACCAGCACAACTTCGACCACAACTAGGAAACCATTTGGAGTATTTAAACGCAAAGAAGTCGTGAAGAAAGACGAAGATGCTGACAACGATGATGACGAGGAGGATGAAGATGAAGATCTCGGCGACGAAGAAGAAGATGTTCTCAAAGCAAACTCTCAGGTAAATGAGAAGAGGGCAACCACCATCAGCACAAAACTTACAGAAACTCAAGCACCCCAACAAGCCGACACCACCACTAGTACTACCACAACTACAACAACAGTACGAACTCCAGGTTCTAGTCCAAGACGCATCAAAGTCTTGAAATTCAAACGTCCATTATTTACAAATTCCAATTCTAAAACCGATCTATCAAGTAGTGCTACTAATTCTACCAACACTGTATCGGCGGAAGCCTTAGATAGTCTCAGTAGTGTTAGTGAAATAGTCGAACACACAATTGAAGCTCTTACACTAACCGAAACACAAACTGACCCCAGTAGTCGTAGTAGTAGTACTACCCCGGCGAACCCAGTGAGCACGGAAGCAACGCCCACACAGGTCACGCCGAACGTCAAGCGCATACGCAAGGTTGTGCGCAAGCTTGTGAGGCCCATAAATCGTAGCACTGAGGAACCGGAAGTAAGTACCACAGAGGCCACTACTGAGTCTACCACAACGACTAGCACCAGTACAACCACAACAACAACGACGACGACGACGACCGAAAAACCCATTGTCCCCAGTACCTTATTAAGTTTGTCCGCCAAGCGGCCCGGTTCCACACGCATTGGTTTCAATCGTAGTACCAAATTTTCCGATAACAATGTCAGGGCAAATAGTGTAGAGGATGATGATGAGGAGGATGAAGAAGACGATGAAGAGGGAGATGAGGATGAAGAAGAGGATGAGGAGTTGAGTTTAGAACAGGAAAATGAGGATTCTAGGGAAGTACAACCGGTTGTGGTAAAAACCACGGCACGTCCACGTAGTAGATTTAGTTTACCCTCAGGTTTTAGCAGTGCCCGAAGCACAACGGTGGCTCCCAGTACAACGGGTAGACCTAAGGCACCCTCGTTTAGTTCCACCTATCGCAATCGTTATGGCAGCAAGGCATTGTCCACACCCAAAACTTTGGGAGCTAGGGTGCCACCTTCACGTTTCAGTTTACCGGTGACAACAACCACCACCACCACGACGACGACAACGACCACGGAAGCTCCACGGGGAAATCAAAATGAAGAAGACAACGAAAGTGGTGAAGATGATGAGGATGAGGACGAAGAAGAGGAGAGTGGTGAGGATGAGGAAGATGAGACCACGGTGGCAACACAAATTGAAACCACCAGCGCCGCGCCGTCTGCAGGTGAGACTAGCATTACAACGCCATCTACAGATGAAAGTAGCACAGCTAGCAGCACGACAACCATAACCACCACCACCAATGCTCCTGAACCTCTAACCACCACACCAGCCACAAATGACGAAGTCCTGATCCTGACCACCACCATGAAACCCCAAGAAATGAGTACCGAAATGCCTTCCGAATCCACCGGAACCACAATAATACCCGAAGAAAAACTGGAAATTACCACCCTGGCCCCAGCAACGGATAGTGAATCGTCGACAGAAACCAAAGAATCCCTTGCCGCTAAGGAAGCCAAAAAGGCATTGGATCTACAAAAACTTCGAGACAAGGTACACAATGACCTAATCAAGGAGGATGGCAAAGAGGGTGTGCTCAGCGAAAAGCTATTCAAAAATGGTAAGAATGAACACCTCACCGAAGCGGAGAAAGAAGATGCCCTTTTGAAATTGCGCAATCGCATCCAGGAAGAATTGGCCAAGGCCAAGGAGCGAGAAGAACATGAAGGTGTTCTCAGCAAAAAGCTATTGAATGGCAGTAATGAAACTGAAAAGGATGACCCTCTGCTGAAATTGCGCAACAAAGTCAAAGAGGAATTGGCCAAGGGTAATCAGGAAGAAGGTGTGCTCAGCGATCGCCTGAGACATCACCACACCACCGAGGAGGTGATAATACAAACCGATAATCCATTGCTGAAATTACGCAACAAGGTCCAACAAGAATTGGCCAAGGGTAATCAGGATGATGGTGTGGTCAATGATAAGTTGAAGAAACTTTTGGAACACAAGACCACCCATGAGGAAGCGAGCGGTTTTGATGGTTCCGGTTCGGGTGATAGCAATGAATTGCAGAAGATACGCAACAAGGTTAAGGAACAGCTGGCCAAGGGTGATCAAGAGGAGGGTGTAGTCAATGCCAGATTGAAGAAGCTACTCGATCAAAAGAATTCCAATACCAATACAAACAGTTTGGAGGAAGATGGACAGCATCATGAAGAAGGTTCAGGTTCGGGAGATGACGATGATCTGGCCAGGAAGTCCCATCAAGAAGATTTGAGTAGTGGTGTGACCACACGTAAGCCATTTGTGCCCAGGACCAAGCTAATACCCACCGACAACACTGAGATACCCGAAACGGAGTCCACAACGACCACCACTACTACACCGGCGCCCAATGGCAGACCCACCTTCAAGCGTAAGTTAATTGTCAAGCGTCCATTTAATCCCACAAAACCTCCACTGTCACGCCTTAAGACCACACCCACTAGCATTGTTGGAGGTTCATCGGCTGCGGCCAAGGGTAAGAAGAAATATGTGAGACGTAAATTCGGCCGGTTCCATCCTTTCAACAGGAGCAACATAAATACCGGTGAAGGTTTTGTGCGCAAGGATCCCAGAGGTAATATTTTGCCGGGTACCGATCGTTTCAAGGTGCAAAATAATGGTGAAGACTACGAGGAATATGAAGATGAGGAAGAGGAACAACAGGAGGTAAATCCGGTGAAACCGAAATTCACAGTAACTCCAAGGCCCACAAATGTGCCCAGGACAGTGGTGACCCGACCTCCGCTCTTCAATAGGCCAAATATTTTGGGTAAACCCAAGATTGGTGCGGCCAATACCCCAGCTCCCGGAGGAGAGAATGAAGCCGAAGAGGAAGAAGATGATGAGGAAGATGAAGACGAGGATGATGAAGAAGATGAGGATGAAGATGAAGACGAGGAAGAGGACGAAGAATCGGAGGGAGAAAACAAAGAGGAACACAAGAATAGACCTAATGTACCCACCAAGGTTGTGAATATACCCGGTAAGGGTAATGTTCCCAAGTCACCACTCAAACCCAAGGATAATCGTGTATTGCCCGGCTCTAGACCTGCCCTGCCCTCGACGGGTGGCAAACAATCCAACAATCCTTCACGGGTGGTCAACATACCCAATCGTCCCGGCTCTGGTCGCCCTGGCCAACAACCCACCACCCCAACCTCAAACCGTTTCGGCATCAGTCGTGCCACCAACAAACCGCGCGTTGTTAACCGTCCACCGGGTGTAGTGCCGCCAAGTCTAACCATTAAACCAGTGGCCACAAACTTTGAAGCAACCACACCACTAATACCTACTAAACCAGCTCCGTTCATACCAATTAACACGCCCGCCTATGAGCGCAAATACACTGGGCCTTCCACCACGGAAGCCACCTCCACAGATATTGACACCTCTCTGATCGAAGATCTTGATATTGAGGCTCTGAATGCCCGCAATAAGAAGATCTTCGATATCAACAGCAAGAAACACACCACAAACAAACCCAAAATTGTCATACCATTCTATAATCCCGAAACACAGGAAGACAACAGTGGGGAACAGAAGCCGGAGGTGGATGAGGTGCTGCAACAAAAGGTATTGATCCAAGAGCAAAATGCCGAGTACACCACAACGGCACCAGCCACAGACGATGACGGGGAAGGTGATCAAGATACTAACACTACCTATGACATGGCTATGGACTATGAGACCACAACGCCACTAACCCCAACAGCTGAGGATCAAATGCCTTTGGGTGATGTACCACCGGCGGCTTCCCAGCCAGAAAGTGGAGAACAAGACAGCATTGAAACCACAACTCTTGAGACACCCACAGAATCCATACAATTTACACAACCCGAAACAATGGATGATACCATGTCCTCCAGCACCACAACACCATTACCACCACCACAACAACCCAGTACACCGGAAGCTAGCACTTCCACCATTTCACCAATTAATGGTTTTGCCACCACTACACCCGCCACGACATCTGTGGACGACACTCTTCTCCATGGCACCTCTGTTTCTAACACCAACAACATTGATCAAGCACAAGTAAATGTTAATGCGATTTCTTCATCACAGGATTCCCAGGAATTGGCGCCCAAATCGGGTGGCATTACCACCACCCAACCGCCCAGCACCACATTGCTGCATGTCTTCACTTTGTCGGATGATGAAAATGCCACCATGAATCCCATAACAGAAGTGGCACCACAATACGAACCGGAATCGGTACAGGAAATAGCATTGCCACCCCAAAAGGTGGCTGAGGTTAATCGTGTGGTTGAGATCATCACCAAGGAAGAGAAGCGGGTCAGAGATCCAATTACCCATGAATTGGTGCCTGTACCCGGTTCGGCTGTCTATCGTGTTGAGTCATTGCCCAAGGTTGAGAAAATCGGTGAGGTGAATTTGGTGAAATATATTCACCTGGTACGTGGTGGTGATATTAAGATTGAAGGTCGTAGCTCGGTAACGGATTACACACCCATTGAGTTGACCAGCCACAGAGTATCGCAACCGGTACGTAATTCCCTGCCTGAGGGTATTAGTGAAAGCGATCGTTATGGTAAGTCTGCGGTACCAGAGGTGCTAAGGGAAATTGAAACCTCCACCATACCACTGGAGGGACTTTTCGATGCCAACATACGTAAGGGTAAACTTATAGATGGCATGGAGGAGAGTACCGTTTCGCCGCTAGAGGGCGTCACTGAACCCTATGTAAGGCAAGAAAGCTCGACTCAAGCAACGCCTAGTGTATTGACCACCACCACCACCACAACCACCACGCCAATTCCACCTCAAACATTTACAGAGGGCTACAAGACATTCAGTTCTTATCTGGAGGAGCAGGCCAAGGCTTCGAGCGGTAAAACCGAACAGGAAGCTCACACCGAGGACATGACCAACACACAACCTCAGTCGGATATAATTGTGGTCAAGACACCAGAATCGATTGAGACCACAAGCACCTCTACCACCACTACGACCTCTACGGAAGCAACAATTGAAACTGAATCTACTACGGAAGCGGCGACAACAACCACCTCAAAAGCCACACCGGTACCCGGTGTCTTGTTCCCATCATATGTAAGACCCATAGTACCCCTATTACGTCCCGAATCCAATGAATCCTCTCCCCTTGTTATATCCATAGCTAATTTAGATAAGGTTATTTTGAGTAAGGTTACAAAAACAGAAGAAGAAGAACAACAGCAACAACAACAACAAGAACAACAACAGTCACAAGAAATCTCCGAAGCAGAAATAAATCAGGAACCAACCCCCACTACCACAACAACAACGACAAGCACAGAATCCCCCACAACAACAACGTCCACCAGCACTACTACCACCACAACAACAACAACAACCACCACCACAACCCCCCATCCCCCAACATTACCCTCTCCTCCCTCCCCTGAACGTTTGGCCAAATTCATTGAGGCCAATGGCGGCCCATCCACAGATCGTCTATCCTCCATTGCCCTGTTAGATGCCGTTATTTTGGGTCGTAAACTGGAAGAGGTGTCGTTGCAACAAACCAATCAAAATGTCATTGTACCACAAATTATTACAGCCAAGACCACAACTTCCGACCCCATTAGTAATGCCATTTTCACACATAGCAACTCTGGGGTAGAGACACAAACCGAACAGTCGCGTAACTATCCGGAAATAATAACGGCAAAGACCACGATTTTGGAGACAAATACAAAACCGGTGCCACCATTCTACTACAGTCAATATGAAAGCTCTCAGGAACCCTCGGCCTTAGTTGCGGATCAATCCGATTCTGATGGAGCTTTTTCGGGCCATTCGGTGGCAATTGTAAAAGCCCAATCGGTGAGGCAAGAGGAAGAAAAAGCTTCACCGGAAGTTGTCCACTACTACAAGCAATCGTACAGAGAGGGTAGGGCCCAGGATGAGAGTTCCACATCGCGCACCAGTAACAATGACAAATTTATACGTTATTCCATACCTCCGTTGTATTTCGATTTATTAGGTACCGGTACCGTGCCAGAACCACCAAACTGGGATTTGGTAACAAAACGTAATGCCCATAAATTGGAGGGGGAAGGTCAAACCGAAGTACCTGCAAAGGGTAATGGGGCCAAACCTCCATTTTATTACAGTCCCCCGGTCAGTGCAAGTGATTCCGATAATATAGGAGCTTTTAGCCAAGCCATAGCCTCCGCTGTGCCAGCTCCTTTGATTGGGGCGAGAAAGGGCAAAGCTTTTGATTTATTGGCCAATGCCAAAGAGCAACGGCAAGTAGAGCTTTTCTCCATAGATCAAGGCAGCAGTGTTGGTAGAACAATGAGTAGTACTGGACTACCAAATATGATCGTAACGTCCAGTAGTGAGGTACATGCCGTCCAAGAACTTTGGCATGATCCCAATGAAAAAACCATAAGTTGAAGTAAATCAATGCGTTGAAGAAGCAAAAAAAAAATAATATTTAAAATAAATTTAGGGTTTTAGGTTAGACGTAAAAAAGCTCTGTAAAAAATATCCAAAAGTTTTTTTGTTTTTCTCTTAATTTTTTATTTTTGTTTTGTTCTCTTAAAGAAAATAGTTAAGTTTATGTTTTAATTTTGTTTTTTTTTATTATTTCATATACAAGTTAAAGCTTTAAAGCTTTTTTTACAGAAATTTGCAAATTTAAACAAGAAAGCTTAATATGTCCCAAACAAATCCATAATATGTCCCCAAAAGCTATGGTAAAATGCAACTTGAAAGCTATATTTTAAATAAATATAAAAATAAATAAAAGCTATTTGGTCTACAGACTCCAAAGCTTTCAATTCTTGGGGTTTTGTGCCTCCAAGCTTAGAAACTGATGAATGAATTTTCATAATTTGATAATAGAAATTTCGAAAGCTTTTATACCAAAGCTCAAAAGTTTATATAAAATAAAAATTGCAAGCTTTGTCTTAAACAAAAAGCTATTTGGCCTGCAGACTCTAAAGCTTTCAGCCCTGCGAATTTTATGTCTCAAAGCTTAGAAACTTTAGAATGGGTTTTCAAAACCAATTCTAAAGCTTTTGAATTTCTTAAATCGTATTAGAGGAATTTCAAAAGCTTTTTCCGAGATAAACTACAACTTTTAAGCTTTCTTGTTTTACATAAATTATTATTTATCCGTGTCGTGTTTATTTCTTATAATAATTTAATTATTTCTAGTCTTATATACATAACAAATAATACAAAAATTTTAATTTCTAATTAAAATTTTACTATTTAAAGCAAAATTCAAAATTATGTACATATTTATTTTTTTTCCTCTCTTTCTTTGCTCTCTCTCTATCTTTCTCTTCTCAATTTCCTTAAATTAAAATTGCTTTCATTCTAACTTCTTTTTTGTCAAAATTAAATTAAATTTGAAAAAAAAAATAATTGGCTGCGTTTGCTTTATTTGAAAGAGAATTTTGTAGTAAAGCTTTTTGCATAAAACAGAGCTTTAGTAACAGAGCTTTTTTCCATTACAAAACGATCATCAAAACGAACGAACTTAAATAAGCAAAAAATATAATTATTTTTATTATTATTGTTCATAAATATAGAGAATACGAAAAAATAGAAAAGTGATCGTCTAAACTGCCATAAAAATAAAAAATATGTTTTTTTCATATAAAACAAAAAAAAAATAATAAGCAATATTTGTCTTATATAAAAAAATAATAACCCAGAAAAGAGTTTCATGTCTTCCCCAAAAATACCAATCATTTAATATTTTTGTAAAAACAACAATAATTGTATGTATTTATGTTTTTTTTTTTTTTTTCTTAATAATTTTATATAAAAAAATCCGTTTTTTTTCTAATTTTTGTTATATCTAATCTCTTTGTTTATAACTTTTTATTTAACACCCAAAACGAAAAACAAAACACTTAATTTTCTTTTCTTTCTTTAGTTGTAAATTTTATATTATTATTTTTATCATATATTATTATTAAACAAAATAATTTATACACATTTATTTTATTATTTTTTCTATTAATAAAAACAAATTCTTGAAAAAAAAAGAATTTTGTAATATATAAAAAATTTATAAAAACAAAAACACACAATTTTTTTTATTTTTAAATAACTTTTTTCACACACACCATGTTTTTTGCTCGCCGTTAATTTTATATAATTTTCTGTTCTGTTGTTTTTGAAGTAACCCCAATTCCACCCTGATTTGTTAACCCCCGTTCTCTTTTTGTGTCTGAAAATATTTGTATTTTTTTTTGTACCATATTTTTGTGTACAAATATTGTTTTTGTATATAAAAATAATGAACTCTGGTTGGTTGATATTTTTCTCGCTCTCCTCTGCACATTTTATTTTTTAACTTTTGATTTTAATTTTTCTAGCTTCTTTAGCTCAACGCCTTTTTTCTTTAGTTTCTTGCTGTTATTGGTATGTATTTGCAAAAAATATATATTATTATAATTTAATTTATCATTTTAATCTTATAATTTTAAGAATCATATCAACATAATTTGTTCATATATTAATTCATATCTTAATATTAGAAAAAAAATCATTAAGACTCAAATATTTTTCATAGTAGAACATTTAGAATTTATTTATAAGCTTACATAATTTTTTACAGAATTTTCAAAACATCCATTAAAAAGTATTACAACTCAATATACATACATATAATAACAAACATACCCATAGTTAAGACACAAACCTTTAGGTTTATGAGATGTTTATCCAAATGCCAAGTCTAATATTTTGTTATCGAATCGGTGTCCAAATTCGCTGTGCAACAGAATAGGCACTTGTAAAGACCAGAGTTGGTCCGTTGAGAGTTTTTTTTAGGTTTTCGGCTGTTGAAAAGTTGTAAACGTCGAAAGGGCCATATACCTGTATAAAACATTGAGAAAGTTTAAAATGTCATAAATTTCTAAAATATTGTAATATCACAGAAAAAACATCCCAAGTTTCAATTTAGGTCGTATTATTGCAACCTCGCTGACATTAATGATGTCTTTGTGTAGATTTTCCAAATAAGGCACCTGAGTCTGGATTATTGTGCTATGAAAATGTAAAATGACAAATATTTTCTTTTTTAAATTTTTGCACTTCAAATTTGTAGATTTTCTTAAATTTTTATTTCAGATATATTTTATTTCATATATATAAAATATACATAAAAATGATAAATATATTAAATAGTAGTGCTTGTCGATTCCCTGCAACGAAAGAAAAGGCTTCTGTTTATGAAACGATTCCCCAGTTAATAAACATGCGGGCAATAACAATTACACTGTGCAACACAAAAAAAAAATTAGGCGGGAAATCCAGCAGATGATGATTTTGAATGTAATCCAAAGATCTGTATCAAATTTCAAAGGTCTATTCTAAATATTGCGAAAAATATCTCAAGCCCCTTTGTAAATTCTCAAAACTTTATAAGGGACTTAACAACATTTGGCCCACGAACCCATAACTTCTTTGGGGGTTTGTTCTTAAAACAAGTTCTATCAAGTCCATTTGGTATTTTCCACAACCCCAGACCCCTATTGTACAGTGAAATTATACGAAATTTTGCTGCGAATTGAAGTTCCAAATTTTGTGCGAAAAAAACAAGTTTTTTTCCATTAACAAATATTGATGATATTTTTCATGGTAAATATTGAATAAACGAATTCCTTTTGTTTGGAGACCCACAATGAAATCTGATCTAGAATAATTCTTATTTTGAAACTTTTTTAAAAAAATTGAGTATAAAGGCAGATTTTAACTCGGATTGGACACGTGTTATATTGACAGTAAAAAAGCAAACACATACTTTTCACTTTTAATGCATGTGTTTTGAATGGAATTCCTATAAAAACTATTGTACCTTGATATATGATTTATTCTGATATTTATAGTGACATTTTGTGTAGAATATTTCTTCTTTTGACATCTTCCGCCTACGAGAAAATTTGATGTTATATTCAGGTCTCAAGTCGAAAAAAGACCGAGGAAAAATTGATACAAAAGGGAATATCTTGTTTTTTTATACTCTCCACCATTCCATGGTGGGTATATTAACTATGTCATTCCGTTTGTAACTCCTCGAAATACTCATTAAACCCTACAAATCACATACAGGGTGAGATAAAAAAATTATAACAAAGTCAAACGCCATAATTTTTATATTTTTTTGTAATTTAATTAAATGAAAGCAAAAAATGTCAGAATAACATTAAAACTTTTTTTAGAATAAATTTAGATTTGTTCGAATTGATCACCTTTGGCACGAATTATGGCCTTCAAACGGCCAATGAAACTGTCACACGCTGCCCGAATGTTGTTCTGCGGTATTTTGGTCCATTCTCGGCGAAGCGCTTGCTTGAGGTGATCGACACTTTGGTATTTTTAGAGCCAACCCTACTTTCCAAAATACTCCAGACACAATAGTTCAACGGATTGGTATCCGGAGATTTTGGTAGCCATTGAAGCGAGAAAAATCATTTTGTAACCATTCATGGGCGGCGCGTGCTGAGTCCTGTTGGAATGTCCAAAGTCTGCGGCCAAAATGTTTGCGTGCCCAAGGCTTTAATACACCCTCCAGAAATTTTCGCGATAATTTTTGGTATTAATTCTGATGCAACCGTCAATTAATACGAGCGAAGAGCGACCATTGGCTATTATGGTGGCCCACACCATTACCATGGCGGGTGCTTGAGTTCTGGTGGCCAACCGAAGGTTCACATTTTCGGCTGACCTCTTTGGCAGGTAAACACGATCGTTTTGTTTGTTTGCAAACTGCTAGACAACGAATGTTTTCTCATCGCAGAAAACCAAATTCGGCAGTTCACCACTTTCGGCCAATCGAAGCAACTCTATAGCTCTTTTGAGTGTATTTTCTTTCCGTTGCGGTGTAAGTTCTTGCACTTTTTTGGAATTTCAATGGCTTTACCCCGAGCTCATTTTTTAATGTTACCGAATGGAATATTGCGATATGTTCAGTTCACGAGCCATTTTTCGGCGACTGCGACGCGGTTTATTCAATTTATTCACATTTAAATGCTGGAATGCTCTAACGTAAGCCACTTGTGATTTTCCAGCCAAATATAAAGAAGACACACTATCACGCTTGAATTCGTGATAACTTTTTTTTTGGAAAATTCTCACGGAAATGCTTTTGTACGCTTGTAAGCAATATAATGAGCTGTCACTGGAATAATTTTAACAGCTGTCGGACGAGTGGCTTAGAAATGCCAGCAGTCTAAAGTTGGTTACAGTTTTTTAATCTCACTCTGTGTATGGTGCTACATCTAAATTTGAACCAATTCTCACCAATTTTAATAGGGTTCGTCCTTGGGCCAAACAAATATTGTTTGGAAAATTTCTTCTCAAAACGCGACCTGTATTTTCTTCACAAAAATACATGGACAGACGGATTGACAACGATAAATTGACTCAGAAAGTGATTTTATGAAGTAGTTAAGTGATTCAAAAGTAACTATGGGACTATCTAGCTTCCATCTCTCTGTTACAAACAAATGCCCAAAGACATAATTCCCTTACCACTATCTTGTGTAGGGTATAAAAACGTGGATTGCATCATCTAGGATCAATTTTGGTATTCAAATGAATTGAGATAGTAACTTAAAATTTGCCTCAAATGTTATTTCAAGTTGAATATCCCCAAAGCCTATATAATTTCGGTCAGAAAACTGAGCTAGCCGGCAAATTGTTGTGGTTTGAAATTTAAACAAAAGTTTCTTTCCCAATGGGGAAAATGCCAGTATTACAACTTGAAATCCACGTTTTGTATTGAAAGAGACTTTTTAGAAATAAAACACATTGAACGGGTGGCACATATATTTATTTATTTTTTTGTTAAAAATGTCATCAGCTGTGTAAATTTGAAAACAATTCTACTTACCAAGGATAATTTAATTGTTGTCGATTATCGCTCTCTCTTCCTCTTTTTCAGTATGTTACCTCAGAGGAAACAATTCAGCTGCTTTACACCTTCAGTAAGGATTTACTTTCTAGATGCTACAAAGCATAATTACATATTGGTCGACTTGTTTGTGATCAAAGAATAATTCTGTAGTATATATTTCTTGAGAAAATGAACGTTTACCTCCCGAGAACGTTGTCCACAGGAATACCATTGATACCTGTCGGAAAGATCTTTAGATTTAAAGGTTTACTTGTATAATTCTTCACCATCTATATTCCTCTTATTCCGAATGATTCTGGCAATATATTTTTAAGCTGACCCAGGAAAAATTTTCGCCACTTCCAGAAAATTATCCATTAGTACCAATATACGAGCGTTTTCAATAAATTATAGGACGTGTCAAGTGCAAATTCTTACCCATTGCGTACCTCGAGTAAACTGTGAAGTTTAAAGTCTTCACAGCCGCAACATTTTCGGGAAAATATGATTCATTTTTGATTTCACATTTTTTAGCCGAACGATTTTCCTGATTTATTGTAAAGTGAATATTTTAGAATTATGATTTTCCCTTACGTTTCTTTATTCCGTTGTTATCCCCTTATAATATTTGGAGTGGTTGGTATTTTCTCTGCAACTGCATAAGATATTATTTGTATTTGTGTGCGTTTATATGCCCTTAGTGAAATTTGTATAGTTTAGTCCATTCGAAAAATATTAATTTTTGTGATATTTCCGCATTATATTTCACTGTCTATAAGCCACAACTTTATTTCATATACAGTATATTTTCAGCAGCTGACTCACGAAAATTCCTTTATTTTGGAGATCCAATTTAAATACTCTCTGTCCATATCCTCCTCCACATAGTATTTTCATATGAAATTGCGGTTCACTTTTTAACGGCACAACACACATCTGTCTTTGTAGATAATTCTTTCAACTCCAAAGAAAAAATCGCTTTAATCTTCAATAGCGAGGCTTAACGGCATTTCTCTCTCCAACACTCCATTACCTTCGAATGTTTCTGGAGCAAAAATTTCACCAATAAATCTGTCATATCTCCTTTCTCTCAATTCCATTGTCGAACTTTAAAGTTCATAAGGCTCACATTTCCAATCCGAAAAAGAGGTGCCTTTCGTTTAACGTTATTGTTGTTTTTGTACAACACTGCCAGGCAATGGCCTGGCCTCAACGATCCATGACACCTTTTTCCCCTCATTTCCATTGGATTTAAGGAAACAGCGAAACGCGAAATTCCACAAAAATCCAGTAAATAAATTGCAGGCGAATGTGTGTAACTATTTTTTTTTTTAATTTTTTTTCTGTACAATCACTTTCAAAGTCTCAAAAGGTACTGAATGACTGCCTAACTGACTGACTGACTAATGTAATGTGCATGCCAGCTGTTGTTCGAAATGTTTTGGAATGATGAGCAGCTTACAACAACTGTAACTGTTGCCCAAATGAAAAAAAAGCAAAACAAAACAAACAAAAAAAATTAAAAAAATCATGAGATGAGAATATGGCATCATGAGGATGATGTTGAAACATGGCTGGCTGGCTATGCCTCAACAACAACAACAGCAGCCGCAGCAGAAGTAGCAGCTGTTGGGATTGGTCATTAATTCACATATAAACCTATGTATAAACATACTTATCTATAGAAACACACACACACACACATTGAAATTGCATCATATTGCCGTTAATAAAAAGAAACAATATTAGCGTAGCAAGCACTGCCGGGCAAAGTTGAAAACTCCACAACATTAAGCCAAAAAAAAACCAGTAAGGAAAGCTCAAAAGTCGGGCGGGGCCGACTATATGATACCCTACACCACTATACATATTTAGTAGAGCTCTCGTAAAAAGGTTTATACAGGGCATTTCAGAGCTCTATGAGATATTTGGTACAAAATCAAAATCTATCTAATTCTATCTAATTCTATAGCTATCTCTGAACCGGGTTTCTCCAAATTTTACGTATTAGCTTCTAGACTGAATTCGGTCTTATGTACGAAAATTCAGCTGATTTGGGCTGATATTGACCATTTAGTGCACATTTAACCCGAAGTCGGATGAAGATATATATGGGAGCTATATCCAAATCTGAACCGATTTCGATAAAATTTAAAACAGCTGTTCCTGTGCTCCATCTAATACCTGGTACCAAACATCACGGTTGTGGAGTGAATATTACGAATGTATGGGACTAAAACACTAAATCGGATGAAACATATATATGGTTGCTATATCTATATCTGAACCGATTTTCACTAAATTTGATATACTTGCTTCTAGGCTAATCTCGGTCACATGTGCCAAATTTCGGGCCATTTGGGCTGATATTGGCCATTTGGTGGTCAATTAACCCGAAATCGTATGAAGATATATATGGGAGCTATATCCAAATCTGAACCGATTTCGATAAAATTTAAAACAGCTATTTCTGTGCTCCATCTAATACCTGGTACTAAATATCACGGTTGTGGAGTGCATAGTAGGAATGTTAGGGACTTAAAGATCAAATCGGATGAAAGATATATATGGGAGCTATAGCTATATCTGAACCGATTTTCTCCAAATTTGATATACTTGCTTCTAGGCCGAACTCGGTTGGGTGTGCCAAAATTCAGGTAATTTGGACTGATAGTGAACATTTGGTGCTCATTTAACCCGAAATCGGATGAAGATATATATGGGAGCTATATCCAAATTTGATCCGATTCTCACCAATTTCAATAGGGTTCGTCCTTGGGCCAAAAAAAGATTGTTTGGAAAATTTCATCTCAATCGGATAATAAATGCGACCTGCATTTTGTTCACAAGAATACATGGACAGACGGACGGACGGACGGACGGACAGACGGACGGACATGCATAAATCGACTCAGAAAGTGATTCTATGAAGGTTCTCAAAAGTAACTATGGGTCTATCTCGTTTCCTTCTCCATGTTACAAACAAATGCACAAAGACATAATACCCTTACCACTATGTGGTGTAGGGTATAAATATGCCAAGCTATGGCTGCCCATTGAGACGGGCCGTCCAGCAAAGAAAGAAAAAACAACAACAAAAGTTGAATGAATGAAACTTTTGCTAGAAAAAAAGGCGCCAAATTCCAAAGCTGCCAGAGTTACTGGCTGTGCTTATCTCGTGGCGGATGGCGAAGAAGAGCAGAAGGGAAGACTTGTCTTCTTTGGTTTTTTTTATTGCCCGATTACATTTTTGTTTTTTAGCACCGAAAATTCCCCCAAAATATCAAATGACTACAAGACAAACATCCGTTTTTGTTGCCTTTTGACATTATGTAATATTGTCGATAATCGTCGTCAGCATCAACATCATTGGCATCATAAAAATATTATACCTACATGGTTTTTATGGGCAACAGAGAAAAGATTTTCAGATGTTTATTAAAAATTTGTGTATGATATCCTACACCATGATGGGAGTGAGTTTGGTTTGGGTCATAAGTTTGTAACATGGCTAAATAATAACCTTCTTAAAAAACCCTAAACCACAATGTGAATGGGTCAAAAGCTTGTAGTACCTTGAAATATTGGCCCCGCCTCATAGTGTACCTTCCATATTATTACCGTGGACTAAGTGCTTAACTCCATTCCCATGTAAATTGCAATCAAAGTCCAAAATATCGGACTATATGTAGTCCGAGTTTACATGATGTGTTGGTAATAATTGGAAAATATATCGATCTACTGATCACAATTAAAGGTCGGAGATACAAATATGTTGCAAGGTGAAAGACCTCAAATTTGGAAGTTGTTCAGACAGTCCACAGAAGATTTGTAATGAAGGTACACCATTCGGTATAGCCGTCATAAGGGAGTGTCTGATTCGTCAAAATTTTGTACACCCTAATATTTCCATCAATAGAGATGGAGCTTAGAAATCGGCAAAATGAGTCCTTTCCTTCCGGTACCTCCCCCACAAAATCTCAAAAATTTCAAAGGTAAAAATTTACTTTTTAAAAACAAAGAGGCTATCTGAAATCGTTCAAACTTAGCTTATTATAATATTTGAATAAGCTATAAATTAGGTGAGAAAAATGAACGAAATCACTTAACTCCTGGTACGTCCTCCACAAAAGGATAAACGTTTCGAATGTGTGACAAAATGCATTTTTTTCAATAATTACCGGAAAATCCGAAATATTATGAAGTAAAGCCAAAAATGAAAGGCACGTCTAATGTCATTTAAAAAGTTTATATCCCAAAGTAACCGAAGTAGAGGGACAAAGTTCTCTCAGCGAACTCATAAATTCCATATTCATCTCAGGTTTCTGGTTGAGAAAAATATTTAGATATAGCAAGCTGTAAATAATCGCTGACTTGTTTCGCAAGTTATGGCAGAGAAAAATACTAAAAATTATGGCCCTTCGTGGGTAAGGTACCAGAAATATGGTATGTTTAAAATATGAAGGGAGTTGGATGCTTATTTCGCCTTCTTTAAGATATTTTCTCCTCAACCCTATATGGGTTTTCATGTGTTGATGGAAATATTGAGATGTACTAAGTCTGAATGGAATCGGATGTTAATTTCACGTTTTATGAGCTTCATGGTTATTTAAAATGTTGATCCTTTGAGGGGAGGTACCAGAAGGAGTGGACCGATATGTCCCATCTTCGCTGCAGGTCTTGTGTTAGTAGAAATAATGGGATGTGTGAAATATGCTTATTTCGAATTTTTGCAATTGTTTTGGTTTGAAGATTGAAGACAATCAGACTCTTATATCTTACTCTTACCACCCCCGATTGCCATTTGGCTAACGGTTTAAAAACGGATTCTTAAGGTCAAACCTTTTTATACCTTCCACCATGCTATGGTATATTAACTTTGTCATTCCGTTTGTAACTCCTCGAAATACTCATGTCAGACCCAACAAAGTATATATATTCTTGATCAGCGTAAAATTCTAAGCCCGTCTGTCTGTCTCTGTCCTTCTGTCTGTAGAAACGAATTGAGATAGAAGGCTAAAATTTTGCACACATGTTTATTTTTTCAGTAGGCAGGTTAAGTTTGTAAATGGGCCATGAAGGTCCACGTTTTCATATAGCCCCCATACAACGGTACCTCCCGATATTCGGTATTTTGATGATTTTAGCCACATTATTCACCGGGATTGTTTAAAATTTGCTATTTGAAGTTCGAAATACACACTACAGCCTAAGAGAGAAAATTGTCTGTGCAGGTCCACGTCTTCGTATAGCCCCCATAAAACGGTACCTCCCTATATTCGGTATTTTTGTGATTTTTAATGTCATTATTCACCGGAATTGTTTCAAATTACGCATTTAGAGTTCGTAATGGATACTACAGCTTATGACAGAAAATTGTCTATGCAGGTCCAGGTCTTCGTATAGGCCCCATATATCAGTACCTCCCTATATTCGGTACTATGACGAGTTTAGGTACAATACTCACCGAAATTGTTTGAAATGTCGTATTTGAAGTTCTTAATGGATGCTACAGCCTATGACAGAAAATTGTCTATGCTGGTCCAGGTCTTTGCACAGCTCCGATATATTGGAACCTCCCTATATATGATATTTTGATGGTTTTAGCTACATTACGTACCGTTTATTTTAAGTTCCGAATTTGAATTTGGTAATGACTTATGACAAACAATGCCTATGTAGGTGCACTTCGTATAGACACCAATATAACGGCTATATTCGGTATTTTTAAAATGTTAACAGAATTTTTTTATTTCCAAATTTGTTCCAAATGGTGGAGGGTATTCAAAGTTCGGCCCGGTCGAACTTACTGCTTTTTAAATTTTTAAGGCCTTTATATAGCTTTAACCATATACAAAGGGACCCCAATATTTGGACATATATTTCTCAACACCTAATATAAAAAAATTTTTAAATTTATAGATAACTCTGAATTGCCCACTTTTGGTATAGCACTTATATAAGAATTATTTTTGGCAATTTAGGAAAAATGCTAAATTTATCGAAAAAATAATTAGAGATATATTTTTTACAAAATTAATAATTTTTGTATTGCTATAAACTATACATTTTTTGCTCAAAGACGCATATACAGCCAAAAAAGTAAATATAAAATTTTTACTTGTAATATATACACTTTCAATGTAATTTTCTTAAAAATCATTAAACCGAGATATCTGGTCTATTTTGTGAATTAAATTTCATAACATTTTCTTCAATGTCATATTTCTTTATTTGACACCTTATGCCAAAAATGAAATTTTATATTTGTTGTTTTGTATTAAATCGTAAAACGACGGTAAAAAAGAAGAATAAAAATTAGGAATTATTTTCGAGGCATTTTCACCAAATTTTGCAAATTACAACTGTCATTTACAACGCGATGCTTATATCTAATTTCAAAATTGCTTCGGTTTTTTATTTTTATTTTAAAATTCTAAAAGATATGGCAAGTATTTTATACAAGGTCATTTTACTTAAGTTCTGTGAGTGGAAGTGAATATATCTTTATATAATGTAAAAATCGTAGAAGAGTTTCGATCTTTACAAGTTTTTAAATAAATATGAGCTGATTCAATTTTTTCATAAAAAAATTTATGAAATTTTTTACCGACCTAAA